CGGCCTCAACACAAACACAATTATGGCCGTGATTACCAGAATGGGAGCGTTTGATTGGACGCTGGATTACCAAACCTGGATCTAATGAAACTGCGGTGGCGCTGGTGTGAGCCGTTAGCGGTTTATTGGACAATAGTGGAGCTAATGTCTGCTCTGGATACGACTGTAGCTGTGTAATAATGTGTTATTTTTAAAAACTAATCTGTGAGATGTGGTTTGGGGCATTTTGTTTCATCGTTTATTTGGATTTAAACTGTTTTTCTAAAGCTATTTCAATCTGGAGGGGCTAAGCAGAGAAAAGGGGGAAAAGTAGAAAAGTATTGGTTGGAAAATAATCAGTTACTTCATCGATAACGCATGCGACTTTGCCGATTTTATGTGGAAGAATTACGTTTATTGCATGTTGTGTCTGAAATGTGGTTAATTTTTGGCGCATAGACCCCGGCAGAGCGCTGTGACCGATGCAGAAGGGGGAAGGATCTTAGAGATTATGAGACCCTGGAGCCAAGGAGAGGGGCTGAGGAGCCGGTCTGTGAGGCGGTGATGGGGAGGAGGAGGGTTGCTGCACGATATGAAAACTCAATGATAGTGTTTGATTGTAGCCAGAGTGTTTTTGACTGATTTACTGATTTATGGATAGCTCCAGTAGAGCAATTTTTTTGGCCCATTAGTTAGAACGGCGGAGATAGGCGTGACTCTGTCCATTCATATATACAGTCTATGATCTAGACACGGGCCCTGGGTGCTGCTCCTGACAGACGTCCCAGTGGCATTGGAAGGATGGGTCAAGTTCAGAGGACAAACTTCCCTTCTGGGACGATGAAATATACCGTAACTTAATTCTCAGGGAGGACCCAGCTCTTCACGGAGAAACCTCTCTGTGACCTTGCCCCTTTGGTCGTTATCCAAAGCTCATGAGAGTAGAAATGTAGATTGAGTGGTACATTTAGAGCTTTGTGTTTAAACTCCGCTCTCCGAGAGGACCGGGCGATGGTCGTGTCCATTGAAGAACTTTCAAGAAACTTTTAAGTCTTTATGAAATTGCACTGATATAAGGCTTGAACACCCACTGATATGGAGAGTGGGTGTTCAAGCGTCATAATTCTCTTGTGAATCAGGTAATGACCGGTCTTGCACGCACTCCCAGCGGTCCCTTTAGATCCCAAAACATTACCATGCCTCTGTTCTCTCCCTCTCGCTTTGTGCTCTTATTCTTCTCATTTAAAGAGCTTCGCCGGCAAAACAAGAGCCGTGATAATTAATGGCGCAACATGCTCCTCATTTAGAATCTAATCTCAAAGAGGTGGACACAAATTCTCCCGGCTAATTGAAAAGTGTGCGGCGTAATGCGCAGAGAGGAGTGAGAGAAGCGCGCTAATGTAGCTTCAATAACGCGCCTTTTAGTACGCCTTGTCTTTCGCTCTGCTGCTAAATGAACGACCGCGGGCTCTCGCTACAACCTGAATTACACTGGGCTCAGCGTGGGCCGGGTTTTAGAGGTGATCTGAGAAATGCTAACTGCAAAATGCTTCTAAAAACCGAGAAATTACACTCATTTGCCGTATGTGTTTTGAGGAGATTTCTATCGTTCTGAAGCGGTTGGTAATTTTGGTTCATTTCAAAGCAAATCGTTATGAACTGCTGCTATGGACTTAGGCAAAGAGTGTAGTGTTAGTGGATACAGTATATACTCACTCTCTCTCTCTTTCTCTCTCTCTCTCTCACTCACTCGCCTCTCTCTCTCTATCTAAAGCCTCTCTATCTCTCTGTCTGGCCTCTCTAGCTCGCTCGCTCTCTCTCTCTCTCTCTCTCTCTTCTCTCTCTCTCTCTCCAGCTCTCTCTCCTATCTCTCTCTCTCTGTCTCTTCTCTAGCTCGCTCGTGCCTCTCTCTCGCATCGCTCTCTGGCTCTCTCCTCTAGCTCGCTCATGCTCTCGCTCTCTCTCTCTCTCTCTCTCTCTCGCCCTCTCTCTCTCCAGCTATCTCTCTCTCTCTCTCTCTCTGGCTTCTCTAGCTCGCTCATGTTCTCTCTCTCTCTCTCGCTCTGCTCTCTCTCTCTCTCTCTCTCTCTCTCCAGCTCGCTCTCTCTCTCTCTCTCTAGCTCTCTCTCTCTCTCTCTCTTCTCCTCTCGCTCTCTCTCTCTCTCTCTCTCCAGCTCTCTCTCTCTCTCTCTCTCCAGCTCGCTCGCTCTCTCTCTCTCTCTCTCTCTCTCTCTCTCTCTCTCTCTCCTCTCTCCAGCTCTCTCTCCTCTCTCTCTCTCTCTCTCTCTCTCCAGCTCGCTCTCTCTCTCTTCTCTCTCTCTCCTCTCTCCATCTCACCTCGCTCTCTCTCTCTCTCTCTCTCTCCTCCTCCTCCTCTCTCTCTCCTCTCTCCTCTCTCTCAGCTCTCATCTCTCTCTCTCTCTCTCTCCTCTCCAGCATCTCCTCTCTCTCCTCTCTTCATCTCTCCTCCTCCAGCTCTCCTCTCTCTCTCTCTCTCTCACCATCTCCTCTCTCTCTCTCCTCTCTCTCCTCTCTCTTCTCTCTCTCTCTCCCTCTCTCTGCTCTCTCTCTCTCTCTCTCGCTCTCCAGCTTCATCTCCCTCCTCTCTCTCTCTCTTCTCTCTCTCTCCTCTCTCTCTCTCTCTCCTTCATCTCTCTCTCCTCCTCTCTCTCTCTCTCTCTCTCCTCTCAGCTCTCATCTCCTCCTCTCTCTCTCTCTCTCTCCTCTCTCATCTCTCTCTCCTCTCTCTCTCTCTCTCTCTCTCTCCAGCTCCTCCTCTCTGCTCTCTCCGCTCCTCCTCTCCTCTCTCTCATCTCTCCCTCCTCCTCCTCTGCTTCATCTCCCTCCTCCTCCTCTGCTTCATCTCCCTCCTCCTCCTCTGCTTCATCTCCCTCCTCCTCCTCTGCTTCATCTCCCTCCTCCTCCTCTGCTTCATCTCCTCCTCTCCTCTGCTTCATCTCTCCTCCTCTCCTCTGCTCATCTCCTCCTCCTTCCTCTGCTTCATCCCTCCTCTCCTCCGCTCCTCTCTCCTCTCTCCTCATCTCCATCTCTCCTCCTCTGCTTCATCTCCCTCCTCTCCTCTGCTCATCTCCCTTCTCCTCTCTGCTTCATCTCCCTCCTCCTCTGCTTCCTCTCCCTCCTCTTCCTCTGCTCCATCTCCCTCCTCCTCCTCTGCTTCATCTCCCTTCTCCTCCTCTGCTTCATCTCTCTTCTCCTCCTCTGCTTCATCACCCTCCTCCTCCTCTGCTTCCTCTCCCTCCTCTCCTCTGCTTCATCTCCCTCCTCCTCCTCTGCTTCCTCTCCCTCCTCTTCCTCTGCTCCATCTCCCTCCTCCTCCTCTGCTTCATCTCCCTTCTCCTCCTCTGCTTCATCTCTCTTCTCCTCCTCTGCTTCATCTCTCTTCTCCTCCTCTGCTTCATCTCCCTCCTCCTCCTCTGCTTCCTCTCCCTCCTCTTCCTCTGCTTCATCTCCCTTCTCCTCCTCTGCTTCATCATCCTCCTCCTCCTCTGCTTAATCTCCCTCCTCCTCCTCTTCATCCTCCTCCTCCTCTGCTTCATCTCCCTCCTCCTCTCCTCATCCTCCTCCTCCTCCTCTGCTTCATCCTCCTCCTCCTCTGCTTCATCTCCCTCCTCCTCCTCTCCCTCCTCCTCCTCCTCTCCCTCCTCCTCCTCCTCCTCTTCATCCTCCTCCTCCTCTTCATCCTCCTCCTCTTCCTCCTCTTCATCCTCCTCCTCCTCTGCTTCATCCTCCTCCTCCTCTGCTTCATCTCCCTCCTCCTCCTCTCCTCCTCATCCTCCTCCTCCTCTGCTTCATCTCCCTCCTCCTCCTCTGCTTCATCATCCTCCTCCTCCTCTGCTTCATCTCCCTCCTCCTCCTCCTCTCCTCACCCACTCATTAAAGCACCTCCTTTCTGCCTGAACATTATTTCCGTGGCACATATAAACTTCAGCCCGCCTCTCATTACTCTCTGAGGTGTTTCTGAATCTTCAAATGAAAACACGCTTCTTCTTTTTAGGCGCCGCTCTACTTTGAGTTCTGTTCTTTCCTTTATTTCTGTTTTTTTTTTGGTGGTCAGACGTTCTCCGTGTGCCCTTAGGAGCTCGACTTGCTTTGAATCCTACTTCAAAAAGACCGGTGCTGAAAAAAAGAAAAAGGCCAGGCAGGAAACATGTACCTTTATCTTAATTAGAAATGAGCCAATTAGACTCTGGGCCTCGAACTGAAAACCTGGTCTGGAAAAGGCTTCTGCTTCTGCTTAAGAAACGTGTATATGCACTGATGGAGCAAAACATTGCGACCACAGAGAGTCTCAGACCCAGGACTGAGGCTGTAGACCCAGGACTGAGGCTGTAGATCCAGACATTTCCCGCTGTGTGACCAATAAAGAATATTTTTGGTATGTTAATGCATTTCCAATATTTGAGCTGTTCCATTTTCTGATCTGTTAAAGTCTCCATGATGTGACTGCTGTTGTGCCTTATGGCTACACAAACATACATGTGATAGAATTGACATATGTTGGGTCTGGTGGCAAAGCTTTTTAGACAAACAAAGGATTGAAAAGAAGAACATTTATGTCGTCGGAAAAGACACATTCCGTCTAAAACAAGCCTTTGTAAAAGCTGTTAGCTCATCACGGCCTGTTTCGTCTTGACCCAGAAGGTTCTGTCAGAATCAATCCGGGCCTTGACAGAGAGAGAGAAGTCTTATTCTTTCAGACGTCCAGAGTTTGGTCACTTCCTCAAACTCATTCAGAGGATTCTGGAGGTGTTCCCAGGTTCTCATCTGAAACATAGATCGACCTCAGTCTGCTTCTCTCAGTGTGGACAAAAAACACAATTCTGTTCAACTAATGCATCCATACAGTTTTTCCAATGTGGTTTTGCTGCAAATGGCAAATATAATGAATCTGAATCTGTTTGTGTATCCCTAAATCACATAAATAACTAACACATTCATGACATCACTCACCTGCTCCTTATGGACCAATGACTTTGTGTGTTTTTATCACTGCATTTATT